GAGGAAGCATGTTTTACATGTCTCTCAAAAAGTTCACTATGCTTTGTATAAACTTAAATTTAACAAAAATTCTCTTTCTACCAGGTTAAGAATCAGACTCGTTTTGGCTTTAATCATTCCGCACATTGACTACTGCTGCCTAGTATATCATGGTCTGAGCGGAGAGCTGAACGCCATATTACAGAGACTGGTCAATTGTTGCATCCGCTTTATTTTCAATCTTAAACGCGACGAACACATTACTCCTTACAGGCGTCAGTTAGGGTGGCTTTCTGTTGAAAATAGAAGGCTATACTTTCTGGGCTGCCAAACGTTTCGTATATTGCATATGCGCTCTCCTTATCTGCGTGAGGATTTCACCTTCCTTGATCCGTCTTTGAGGAGGTTGGTCCGCTCTTCTGTTGCATCGGAAATTTTTCATACTCCTTCCCATAGAACTACTACCTATAGAAACTCCTTTCATCTTTTCGCTGTCTATTTTTGGCATTCTCTTCCGGACGGTATTACCTCTGCTTCTTCAATCATTTCCTTTAAAAGACTTCTAAAAGCGTACTTGCTTGCACGTGAAGTTGGATGACTGGTCTCTGGATATGGCTTTCGTCGTCTGTTATTCTTGTCATTAGTTTATAAGTTATTTTGCGTTCAGTTCTTAGTTCCTATTTATACTGTACATATTTTTACTTTAAGTGGCGCGTTTTTATTATTAAGTTGCGTTAGTTATATTTTACTTATCATGGTTATGTGAATGTACATGTGCTTGAGAGAGCATGTATTATTTTGTTTTTTGTACTATCTTGTATTTGCCCTTTAGCCTATGCTTGGGCATAAATAAATCATATCTCTCTCTCTCTCTCTCTCTCTCTCTCTCTCTCTCTCTCTCTCTCTTCCGCGTACTCGGCGGAACTGTGTGCGGAGCGTTTGCGTATATTTTATCCGGCTGTCTAAATTTACCTGCCTGATCTAGTATTGTGGTCACTGTAAGACCGATTATACATGCCGCCTACGTGTTCCAAGTGTAGGAAATCAATAGCAAACAGGTCGATTGAGTGCAGCGGGTGCAGAAGAGTGTTTCATCCCGGTTGCATTAGGTCCTATTCAGTGTCTAAATACGCTGACTCTTGTTGTACATCACTTCTATCGTCATTGGACATACCCCCTCTTACACCAGCATCGGAGACAGCACCGCTTTCATTTGAATTTGACAATATGGCTTCTTCTGCAGATTCGCGTACTCAGTCGACCCCACAGCATGCGACTAACGAGCTTTTGCTGAGTCTGATTGAACAGATGAAGATGTCCGATTCTAAGATCTCTGCGTTTATTGATAATCAGCAGAAGATCAATGACGACATTACGAGGTCAGATTCGAGAATTTCTGCCTTCATAGATAGTCAGCAAAGGACAAACGAGATGATAAATAATAAACTAGACCTAATCAATAGCCTATCTGAGTCTGTTGCCAATCACGCTCAACGTATTTCGTCCTTGGAACATGAAAATGCGGCTCTTAAAAGAGAACTTTTAGACTTAAAATCGGCTTGTATGGATCGTCAGGACACTGGCGCAAATGAGATCATTGTGTCTGGCCTGCCGGAACCACTTTCTGAGGTTCCCTCTGTAATGGCGCGCAACCTACTTGTTGCACTTGGTGCATCAGATTTGTCTCCTCATATTTTGAATGTTAGAACTGTCCGTAGGTCTCCCCCTGACTCTGCTTCTGCCAACTCCAAAGCCACAGTGACTGGTAACTCACTTATCGTCACTGTGTCCTCCAATTCTGTTAGTGAGATTATAATCTCGAAGAAGCGAGCCAAGGGTGATCTCAAGCAGGGGGAGGTCTGCGGAAATGACTCTAAAACTGCTGTATTTGTTAATGAATTACTCTCAAAGGAGTGTTACGAGTTGCTACAGCAGACTAAGCGTTTAGCTAAAGAGCGATCGTACAAATATGTATGGGTGAGACGGGGGCGTATTTGTGTGAGGCAATCCGATGGTTCGCCTGTTATTTATATAAGATCTGCTGCAGACCTGACTTGTCTTGATTGACCGTGCCGGATGTGTCCACAGAGGCACTCAAATAGCATTGAATCTAATTTCCGAGTTGTCCAATTCAATGCGAATTCACTTCGTGGTCATATTGAGCTTGTCAGGCTCCACTTTGACTCTAATCCGTATCACATTATTTCTATTTCCGAAACTTGGCTTCATGATGGTGTTTCTGACGAACTTGTGGCCTTGGATGGTTATTTTATGATCCGCCATGATCGGGTTGGGCGTATGGGAGGGGGCGTAGCCTGTTACGTTCATCATTCACTTAAGGCTAAGCTAATTGCGTCTTCTGTTGCAACTCATCTTAATGCTCCTGAATTTCTTCTGATTGAAATTCGACTGCCATGTAACGAAACTATACTATTTGCGTCTGTATATAGGAGACCCAAGGGTTTTCTTTTCCAAGATTTTGCACAAGCACTCACTAATGTATCTCATCTCTATAAAAATATTATCATTGGCGGCGATCTAAATTGTAATCTACTGTCAAACAGCTTTGAAGCCAACTTCTTGCGTGAGTTTATGTCTAGCCTTTCTATGACTATTATTCAATCCGAAGCCACGTATCACACGGCTACCACTGACTCATGGCTCGATGTCCTAGCGGTTGACGACTGTGAGAAGGTCCGCAGATTTTACAAATCTGAGTACCCATTCATTGCGGGGCATGATCTGATCGAAGTATCGCTGTCACTGGGCGAGAGGTTGGCTACTGAGCGTACCATTGCGAGGCGTTGTTATCGGACTATTGTTGCGGATGAGTTCCAGGACCATCTCCGATCCTTAACTGTGAGCCCTGAAGTTGTGGCGTGTGCAAATGTTACTACTGATTGTGGCGAAGTTAGCTATGACCAATCCTCTGTGTCTCATGTTGATAGATTTTGTTCTGTGCTGTCTGAAATCTTACTTGACACTCTGGATGTGGTTGCTCCAGAGCGTACATTTATCATTAAAAAGCCCCCTGTGCGGTGGCTTACAAGCGAACTTAAGACCAGAATTCGTACTCGCAACCAAGTATACAGGCGTGCTAAGCGTTCAAATAGCGCACTTGGTTATTCCTTATACAGGCAATTTCGCAACCAGTTAAATTCAGATATTAAGCGTGCTAAAAGTGAGTTTCAACTTAACTCACTTAAATCCATTACTGACCCAGCAAAGCTATGGAGAGAATTAGCACGTTTAGGCCTTGTCAAGTCTTCCCTTGTTTCTCCACTGCATTACTTCACACCAAATCAATTGAATGCACACTTTGTCTCTGTTTCTGATGTTCATACGCCTTGCTTATTCGATGACTTTATGTCTGCTATAGCTTGTGTTCCCTGTCCACCCCAACGTCCTGAATTCGTTTTTTCTGTGATCACGCCTTGCATGATCTTTCAGCTTATCTCCACGAGACCACTTCATTCCTATGCAGCGGGAGTAGACGGTATTCCTCTCTATATTCTGCGTCTGGCTTGGCCTGTAATTTCGTTGCAGTTGACGGCTCTTCTCAATCATTCACTGGAACATTCTACCTTTCCGTCTCAGTGGAAGCGGGCGCTTATTCGTCCTCTATCGAAGATTCGTATCCCGTCATCCCCGTCAGACACGAGACCGATAGCCAATCTGCCAGAGCTATCCAAAGTGCTCGAACGTATCGTTGCCTCGCAGATCAGCGACTATTTAACTGAGCACAATCTTATTAATGTGAGACAGTCTGCTTTTCGTCCTAGTCATAATACTTAGTCTGCGCTTCTGCGAGTCTGCGACGACATAAAGAGAGCGATTGACATTGAGTTCATTACTATTATGATCCTCTTTGATTTTAGCAAGGCGTTTGACACGGTGCCTCATTTGCGTCTTCTGATTAAACTTAAAGAGCTGGGTTTTTCTGTCCCTACACTTATCTGGATCTACTCATACCTCACTGGTCGTTCTCAGGCTGTTGTCGATGACGAGGGTAACTTTTCCTCTTGGTTATTTACGCTATGTGGGGTACCTCAGGGTTCTGTACTTGGCCCACCTCTGTTTACCCTCTACATTAATGACATAGGCAAAGTTCTGATCTACTCTGAATACATGATATTTGCTGATGATATCCAGATCTATCGTTCCTGTGCTCTTGCTGATCTCCTTTATAATCTCAATTTGATCTCAAAAGATGCAAACGCTATCTTTGATTATGCTAATGATAATGGTTTGAAATTGAACCCTGCAAAATCCAAGGTCATCATTTTTGGTAGTGGAACAAACATCAACAACATTGATCTGGACTCATTACCGCCTATAACTGTTAATCATACGCCTTTGCCATATGTAAGGGAGGTGAAGAACCTTGGAGTCTATTTCGAATCGAATCTCTCCTGGAAAAAGCATGTCTCGCATGTCTCGCAGAGAGTTCATCATGCGCTTTACAAATTAAAGTTCAATATGAATTCCCTCTCCACGGAACTTAGAATCAGGCTAGTGACGTCTCTTGTGCTGCCATATCTGGACTACTGCTGCCTTGTCTATCACGGCCTGAGCAAGGAACTTAATCTGAAGTTGCAGAGACTTGTAAACTGCTGCATTAGATTTATTTATAATCTGCGTAAAGATGAGCATATATCGCAATATCGACGTCGCCTTGGGTGGCTGTCTGTAGAGAATAGAAGACTATATTTTCTCGGGTGTCAGACCTATCGCATCATCTACATGGGCTCGCCAACGTATCTTAGTGAACTTCTTACTCCACTTAGCCCGTCACTTAGAAGGTCAGAACGTTTAGGTAATTCTTCCTCTCAAATCTTTCAGATTCCAGCTTTCAGAACGGAAATGTATCGTCATTCCTTTCATATATCGGCTATGAACTTCTGGCATTCTCTCCCTGAAAATGTCACGTCTGCAACCACTATTTTAGCCTTCAAGAGTCGTCTTCGTTCGTATCTGTTTTCATTGGAATTCATGGACTGAGCTCCTGTCACTCCTGTTCCTGCTACTCACATTTCTTCTGGTCCTTGCTCTAGCGTGGAACTATTCCTGTGATATTAGTTTTTCTTAATTTAGTTCT